TGGGTGTGCATGTGGAAGGTCAGGTTGTACACCTGGTGGAAAGCCTTGTTGCAGATATTGCACTTGAACTGCTTCTCCCCGCTGTGAGTCAGCTTGTGATTTTTGTAATTGCCTGGAAACGAGACAAGAAGGGCAAAGGGACCTGAGTTTGAGATGGACGCTGCAAAGAGGAGAAAAACATAAAAATCCCCAAACCCTGTCCCATCCCCGGAGCTCGGCTTTAGGCTAAAACTACCGTCGATCTCCTAGCAAACACCCGCCTTCTTCGCATCTTCCCCAGGGCTGCTCCTGACAGACGACAAGGGAATGATCGAATAAACCAAAACAACGACAGATGCAGAAATAAAACCCCTGGTCCTAGCCTTCCCAGCAACGCGGAGAGAAAACACTAATCAAATTACTGCATTCGGGTGGGAAAAAAGGCGGCTAATTCGTTTGCCGAACCACGCGGGAAGCTCCGCGTTGTGGTGCGGGCAGAGCAGGCGCTGCCCGCGGAATGACTGCCCTGCGCTCCTCCCGGGACGAGATTCCTGTCTCACTTTGTGGGCCAGGCTGGAGGAGATGTGTCGGGGCTAGAGATACACAAAATTAACCTAAATATCCAATAACAAAAATTGAAAACAAAATCAACCCCCCAACACCCTTCCCGTCGCAAATTGTCCCGAAGCTTGACCTAGCTTGGAGGTGGGGTGGGTAAGAGAGATGGTGGTGGAGACTGGTACCTTTCTGGTGAAATCCTTTGCCACAAAATTCACAGACAAATGGTTTGTAACCGGCGTGTATTCTCGTGTGCGTGTTCAGGGTCGAGCTTCGGTTAAAGGCTTTGCCGCACTGGTTGCACTTATGTGGCTTTTCCTGGAGGGAAAGAAACACCAAGTCACGGCTTGTTGGCTGGTTTGCGGGGTCTGAGTGCTGGTTTGCGGAGGTTGTGTGCTAGTTTGCAGGGTTTATGAGCTGATTCGTGGGGTCTGTGTGTTAACTGACGGCTCACAGCTGCCAGGGTAGGGCACCCCGCGGTATCCACCGCGCTTGGGGCAAACGAAATCCCCCCGCGGCTCTGGCTCAGCCGCCCCATGCCACACGCCACTGCCTCGGAGAGTCCGGACAACACCGTGCTCCCCAAAAAACGTGAGATGAGGGTCTTGAGCAGGGAGGAAGGGACCGAGGGGGGGCTCACCTGGGTGTGGATGATCTTGTGCCGGCAGAGCGTGCTCGCCTGTCTGAAGCCCTTCCCGCAAACTTTGCAAACAAAAGGTCTGGCTCCCGTGTGCACCGGCATATGGCGCGTTAAGTTATAATGTGCATTAAATACCTTGAAAGAGAAATTAGACCAAAAAAATTGTGATTAGAAAGTGAGAGCCTAAGGGAAGCTGTCGCTGAAAAATCAAGCAAGCGACCGACAACCGGCGGACAAACGGACAGGGACAGGAGGCTAGGGAAGGGAGGCGACTGTGGCGCTACTTGCCTTTCCACAAACTTCACACGTGAAAACTTTGGGCTTGCTGCTCGGGGAGCCGCGGCTGAACTCCGAGGTCTTGTAGGCGATTTTTTCCGAGAGGATCTGGGCACTTTCTTTCATGTAGTGCTGCAGTTGAGCCTGCGATAAGTCCTTGAAGGCCACCCCGGCCGGGTATTTGTCCACTGTCGGCAGCACCAGCTTGTTCCGCTCCGCCAGGTAAGCCTTGGGCTGCGGGTGCAAGGGAGAGCTGAGGAAATAAGAAGCCACCGGGTGGATGTTGACACTGGAGGACGGGTGACAGGGGCTGTCGCCTCGGTTGAAATAGCACAGGGCTCCCATGGCGTGGAAGGAGGAGTGATTGACCACTCGGGGTCTTACCAGTTTGTACTGCTGCAAGGGCAGGGCATCGCGGGGGAAATCTCCTTTCAAGCTCAGGGCACAGTTCAAGAGATCGCCGCAGCTAAAGGAGGGTGAGGAAGAGGAGTCTAAATGAGCCTTCCTGGGTTCCGCTCCTGCCACCGCCGCTTTGGGCAAAGTGTCGTACGCCACCGGGACAAAGGGGATCATGCAGGGGATGGAGGAGTTGAGGTGCAGCGGGTGCTTGGGGTCGCCTTTGGCCACGGAGCCGTGGAGGAGCTGCGGGACTGGGATGGAGCGGGGCTCTGGAGTCCGCGCCATGATGCGCTCAATGGAGAAGGCGAGGGGCTTGGGCGTGCTGATCATGTTGCTCCTGGCAGACAGGCTTTCTCTGGCCGGAGGAGTCGCTAGGATTTTGGTCGCCGTGTGGTGGCCACTATTGTCCATGGCTGAATTGCATTTGTTCGCCCGGTTTGAGCCGCTCTGGTAGACGCCTCTTTTTTTTTTTTTTTTTTTTTTTTTTTTTTTTTAATGAGGGATACTTGGGGATTTGAGAGTCCTTTTCTTGTTACTGATCTGCGAGGAGGGAGACCAGCATCGCCGTCGCCACCATCACCAGAGCCTCCGCCGGCGGCACCAGCCTTCTCAGTCCAGTGGACTTATGCCAGCCCATCACAGTTTACTTTGGCGCACCAATGACTCGGGACAATCGCTACTTATTTCTATCAATAGAAAGTGTTGTGTCAATAACGCAGCCGAGATCTCGCCAATCGTTAACTTCCAAGAGGAGAAGGTAAACTAGATAATTGCTCAATTCGCTTCCAACAGTCAACAGGAAAAGTTTTTTCCCCCCCAGTAAGCGGCTACTTTTCATTGGCGCCCGCGCCTCCCCCGCCCAGGGAAGGAGGTGGCTCTCCCTCCTTCTCGCCTCTCTCCCCTCTGCCTCCCTCCCTCTCTCTTTTTATTATTATTATTTGCAATCTGCTTAACCAGGCTTTAGAGGCCAAGCAAATCCGAGATCAATTTTCTTGTTTGGCTTTAAGTGACATCATCTAAAATCATTGTCCAAGTGCTAAATGGGGATGTGAAACCCAATTCAAGGGCAAGCGTCAGGGTATTTGTCAAACGAGGTGCTGCAGAAGAAGCGACTGGAGGGGAAGCTTTCTCCTTGCCACTTTCCAGCCCGAGCTCTCTTTGTGCGTGCGTGTGTGTGTATGAGGGAGGGAGGGAGGGAGGGAGATGGCTGCGCTGCTCCTGGGACTGCTTCTGATCTGCTCACTGCTTTAAAGAACAAGGTCAGGTGGCGGTGAGTTCGGAAAACAGAGTAAGCGAATAAACAGGGGACTTGTAACAAGCAGTCGGGAGCTGTGTGTGGGGATACAGGAACATCCCGGGCCAAATCCAAAAGGGGCTTGGGAGAAGAAGGATGACTGAAAACCTAGGACAGGGGAAGAGAAGGAAGAGGAGGTAGGAAGAGGGAGTGCCTTTTAAATCTGAATCCCTATTCATATATTTGTATATATACATATGTAACCTGAATATACACCAAGTATAGCTCCTCTGTCCTTATATAATACATGAAAAACACAAATACCGAAAACTCAGAGTCGGTCTAGATACACGAAGGAATATATAGCTCACACACTGCTTATAGGCATATATGCACCTAAACTGATGTGATTCACATGTATTTAAGAGAAGCTTGACGGCCCCGTTCGGGGCGGGCAGCTTCAGCGCTCTGGGGTCTCATACTTACAGTGAAGCGAGGGTGGTCGGGGAAACGAGAGGAGCAGCGGTGGTTACGGGGTTTTCTGTGTTCCCGCCCATCCCACTATCCGGCAGTTCGGGCTCAGGAAAAGCTCCCGTTCCTCCCAACGGCCTGGATTTCACTTGGCTGGTGACTGAGAGGCCGCTACCAAAATAATCCCTGGGAGAAGCCAAGGGTCCCTCTGT